CATATAACACCATCTTTGGAGTAGGTAGGTATTGTTCTCATGTATGGAGCTCCATCCCCAAACATACCCTGAAGCTGCTGAATTCCATCCAGAAAAGAGCTGTCCGCATAATTGGAGACACGAACATCCCTTGCAACCTTGATAGTCTGGAACATCGAAGGAAGGTTGGAGATTTAGCGCCTTAAGGATTTTCGTGTAGTGCTTGTGTTTTGTCCTAAAAAAAATGCAGTAATATAATAGCTTCAACGGAAAATTTTCAATTAAACAAAATGTAACCTGCAACCTAACCTAGCCTACAATAAATGCACTAAGGAAAATAAAAAAACGGATTTTATCAGGGTTCGATCCAACAATGTCTACTTAAATGATCTTTTAGTCGAGATCATAAAAATTCCGATGGATTATGAAGGTTTCAAATATGCCAATTGATGAATCCATCGGATTTAACTTTGAAGGTTCGAAAACGAGTAGTTGAGGCCACAGAGGTTTGCGAACGAACTGTCCAAAAAATCAAATCAGAGTTAAAAAAATAGAAAAGGACGAAAAAAACACATTTTTAACTCCGAATAAAATAAGATTTATCAAAAATTCCAGTAATATTCCATAATATGTCCATAATTTTTTGAGTCGCAGTTATGGACAGACAAAAAGATATAATATTAAAATTAGATTTTAGGAACATTTTGCACACTTCAAATATGGACGACCTAAAAAAATCAGCAGTGGCCCATTATATTTTGCAACAAAACCATTCCATAGACAATTTGACAACAACAGGCATCTAGATGCCTAAGGAAGTGTAGAAATAAGTAAACATAATAATATTATGAATAACGATGGTGGATCAATACCTAACAGTATACTGTATATCTTGTTAAAATAATATTTTAATTATTAGATTTACCTGTCTATTACATAAGGACACATTGTAAAATCAATTCAAGACTAGTAGGTAAGGCAATATTGTGAAATGAATTTAAGACACTTGAGACACAGATTCCGCATCTAGAAGAGGTATCTCGACAAATGTTTCGATGACTTGGTGATCGAAACAGGTGTCGAGGTGTTGAAATAACAGTTTGGTGTTAGGAAAAAACTCCAGTAATATTAATTTCTAATTGAATTAAACATAATAATATTATGAATAACGATGGTGGAGCAATACCTAATAGTATACTATATATCTTGTTGAAATAATATTTTAATTATTAGATTTACCTGTCTATTACATAAGGACACATTGTAAAATCAATTCAAGACTGGTAGATAAGGCAATATTGATAAATGAATTTAAGACACTTGAGACACAGGTTCCGCAGGTACCTAGAAGAGGTATCTCGACAAGTGTTTCGATGACTTGGTGATATTACTCCAGTAATATTAATTTCTAATTGTTTCGAATGTATCTCTTCAACACCATTCCGGCGTGAAATTCCAGAACACAATTGAGATTGTGTTAAAGAAAAGTGAATAATCTGAAGAGAATATTTATTAAAAATTTGTTTTACAAATTTAAATTATGGAAAAAGTTTTGTTTATTCTTTTTTAGAAAATAATGCATTTTATGGTTCCATTTTAAATGTCTATCAATCATTATTACAAAGTATTTGACACAGTGAAGTAATTTTGAAAGAGTCTAAGTTAGTTAATCAATTTTCATGAGAAGTGAACGAAAGATGCTCCCCCGAAAAGTTTTTTAAAAAAATTTGTTTTGGATAGATTATATGAAAGATTGGATTTTCGTTTTGCATTGTTGGTACTTTAACTTGTGTTAGGTAAAAATAAATGAAATGAAATTCTAGCGCTTGCCGAGGGAAAGTACCTATGAATGATTAAGAAGGAGTTTCAACTACCAAAGTTGATTATGCTTATCAGCCGGAACTTGGATTTTTCTTTGAGAAAAGCAACTAAAAGAAGGACTTCAATAGAGAAATAAATAACTTTACTCGAGCGGCACATACTAGAAGGAAATGTATAGTTTATAAAAAAAGAGTCACAGGAGTCACTCTTCAATAGAGAGATAAATAACTTTACTCGAGCGGCATATACTAGGTGTATCCAATAGACTTTAAAGAGAGACATAATTTTATTGTGTAGCGTAGTGCATATACGGTGCGTTAAATAAGTTGAATATACATTTGTGAATGGTTATATAGTTGGAGGGCACATATGAGCCATGTCAAAATCATTTTGTGTGTGTTGGCCCTTCTACGCTTCGTTAGAAAAATGCTTTGTTGCCCGAAAATAGGTTTTAGAAACGGTAGATTTTTGTTGTTTCAAAACAGATAAATTGCTTTAGGCTACATTCCAGGTCATCAAAGAAGCCAAAAAAAATAGCAATTTTTGTTTTTTGTTAACGCTTAAGCAACCTGAATCATCATTTCCACGATGCCAGCGGAGCCACCAAAACGCTTTGGGGCCAGTGACGTACTACCTAGGGGAGCTAGGAACTACATTGAAAGGTTTTCAGTAGGAAACGCGAAAGTATTTGTGAGGTATTTAACGACGAACGCGATTAGATATGTGGCTGAAAGGGTTTGGAAGTATTTTAAATTCAAAGCAATGGGAGAAACTGATGAGTGTTCCTTCGATGTTTTCATTTCGCATCGATATTGGATGCCCTTATTTGATTTGGTTGAAAGCACGCTTGTTAGCTGGAGTTGCGTCATGTAAATTTCCGATGGAAAGTCAATGTAATGGGATTGTTGATATCTGGGATATTGAGACACCTCATGTTTTTGTAAGTGACTAGGATTTTACTGGACGGATTTATTGCTGCGAGAGCTGTACGCTCTACGTGGTGTATCGACAGTGGGGGTAAGAGTCCCGTTAAACGGATACCATTTCCTCCAATTAATGTTCATTGTATCGATTTTTCATCTTTGCACAATACGATGGTTTTAATATGCACGACTTTCTGCATCAAAGGAAGGAATTTCCGACCTATATGACTGTAGGTTGGCATATGGTACGATGGCAAACAATGTCTTTCAACGCTGTCAGAATTTCGTGAGCTCTTTGTCTCCGTCAAAGTATCCTGACTTTTATGAATGTTGATCTTAGCCATGGGTCATTAAAAATAGCAGGGGAGCCCACGATGCAAAATGGGGATTTACTCGAGCGTCATTGAGACATATTAGGTTGCAAAGCTTAGATGATAAGAAGAAAAAAATAAGTTTGAAAATTTTCCAATAGGACGAAACTGCAGTAACGTTAGTTACAAATAAAAGTGGTAAAAAACATAGAAACTTTAATTTCTCTTTTCTTTATTATGATTTCCTACCACGTAGAAACGGCTATATCCATCAATTAATTGATTAATTAATCATCATCTTCATCTTCATCACGAACGCGCTCGAGAATTTCTGATGATCATTTTTTTTTGATAATCTGATCCTTTATCACTCACAGGCGGGCACCGAGGGGTAGCCTCAGAGACGAGCGATTTGGGGATTACGAGCGATTTGTATCCTCAGTGGAAGAAGTTGTATATACCCCCAAAGTATCATGTGATGCACTGTTTGGAATCTTTGGTGTAGTAAAGAATATTACAGGAGTTTTGTCCAACACCAAACCGTTATTTTAACACCTTGACACGTGTTTCGATCACCAAGTGATCAAACTGATCTTCTTCTTGAAGATGATCACTTGGTGATCGAAACACGTGTCGAAGTGTTAAAATAACGGTTTGTTGTTGGGAAAAACTCCAGTAATATACACAAATTATCCTTAGTATAAGAATTTGGATAGACACTCAAAGTGTCGGGATATATGATGAATGAAACATTATTTTTATAGCCACGTAAGCTTTAATTTTGAAGTATTCGTATAAATATTACGCCCCAATGGAAGGTCAGTAGAATGTACAGTTTGTAGGTACGCAGGAATTACTCCCGGACGGATTTGTGCTCCTTATAAAACGGGAAACCGATAGTTTCATAGCGAAAGGGGCTTTTTGTTAAAGAACATCCGAGTATGTAGTTGGCGAGTTTGGGAATCCTAAAGATTGGAAATGAAAGAGGGACATTCCGTGCAGGTAGGTTATGTTAGGTTAGGTCCAAAGTGAGTGGGTCTATTCGACTCTCCACTGCAACCTGCAAGGGTTTATTGTGGCTCAAACCTATTCACACTCGACCAAATAAACCCAGCTTCTTTATGAAGCCGGTTAGTTTGTATGGTGAGTGGTCTTTCAGGTCAGATGGTAAAGAGTACGGCTCTGCCGAAGTCTAAAAACCTGATTCGATCACCAGAGGAGCAGGCACAAAGTATATGATCTGCTGTTTCATCATTTTCCTAACAGAGGAACTGTCTTCAGACAGTGCAGTCTCTGCATATGATGATTCAAATGACAGTGACCTGTAAAAAGGCCTGTTAGATATCGTAGTTCATCCCTACTGTAGTCCAACAACTGTTTGGTATCAAGCTTCGAGAAAGTTAAATAAACGCCTTGAAGTAGGCCAATCCGTACAGATAGCTCACCGGTCGAAACTGGTACGGGTAAATACCCAGCAAGAAATCCATCAAGGAATACTTTTTTTCATAACTAGTTATCTTTAGAGAAGATTCAAATGCATTTGGCCACAATGTGTCGATGATAGTCAAAAGCCTTTTCGCTTCAGACAATAGTCTGGGGAATATAGTAGGTTTCAAGTACACAAGGAGTTTTTCTAAGTTTTCTTTGTTTTAAGAATCGAGACTGCGACGTATTATTAGGGCGGGCGCATACATACAACTTTTAGTTGAACAACTGTTTTGTTGTGTTTCATATATGTTTAAAAAAATATATTAAAGTGCACATACTGTCAACTCGATAGTTGCTCGACAAAAAAGTCAAAAAGCTTATCGATTTGCTTTTGATTTTAAAGTTGAACAACTATCGATCAAGCGCTCAATTTGTATAGCATTGTATTGATGTGCGCAGACCATCGACTAAACAGTCAATCCGCGACTGTCAGTCTCGTACATTTGAAGCGGCGTCACGTCTCTTGTCACTTGTCACCATGGCGGGAACTATTATGGATGACACAGAGGAGTTCATTAATAGCATAGAAAAAAGTCCTGCGCTTTACTTAAAGAGTCTGAAAGAATATTCAGACAACAATCTAAGGAAAATGATATGGGAGGAAGTTTGCATGGAAGCCGTCGTATCTGGATGATTGGAACTAGACCCAGAAAATTAAAAAAAACGAGTTTCGTTTCGTTATTTAATTTCATTTTTTATAATTAAAAAATGAAGATCTAGAGTTATCTGGTTCAATCAAACGAATAGGTATGTTTGCATTCGAGGGCGCCAATGACATTAGGGAAATTCGTTCGAGAGTAAAATTGATCTGCAATTTCAACCCTATCTTCTTCTGTCTTTTGAGGCATGTAAACTGGTTGCATTGTTTCCCAAATTTAATCACATGTTATCTCTTACGGTGTCTCTTACAGTTGTTGCTCCTATTCGATATGCAAATGAGAGGGCATTGAAGCTGTTGCCAGTTGCCAGATATCTGTAAAAAATATATGTATTACATAAAAATATACAGGATGTAACGGAAAGGTGGTATACACCCGAAGGAAGTTAAATGTACTCATGAAAAATTTTTTGATTTCCATTTTCGGGAAAGTTGCTTAATTTCATGAGTACATGTACGCCCCCTTTCCGTTACACCCTTTATTATAGAAATAAGCTGCAACTTTAGTAATTATTATTTGTTAAATAAACAAATAAATAAATATATTTCTTATTGTATACAGGTGCAGAGGTCCAGCAGAAATGGCTTAACTTGAGAACCTGCTTTTCAAGAGAATTGAAGGCTCAAAAAACAACATCCGGACAAGCGGCAAAGAAACGTCGAAAATATCGATATTTTGAAAAGTTACTATTTCTGAAATATTCATTGGCAGAACGACCCACTGATGGTAATTTAGATTCCACTGCAGCTGAAGACGAAGATGAGACTGAAACCTCTGACAATATGAGCTCAAATGTACCTATAAGATAAAATACAAAGTACAAAAAAGTGAACTCAGGTCCAAAGTTCGAAGAATCTTTGTTGAACATACTGAAAGATGATTTAGATGAAGACAAACATTTTGCTTTCTCTTTAGTTCCTACGTTACAGTCTATGACAAACGACGAAAAATTTCAAGCCAAAATTGAAATACTGCAAGTTTGTCGAAGAATAAAAGCCAACAGACAACATACTCAATCTTCCGTTACACTTCCTTCACGTAACATTTTTTCACAGCCTTCACAATTTCATGAAGCTTCAACAAACAATTTAGTACAACAAATAAGTCAGCAACCTGGATATTACACTGGATTTACCACACCTCAAATTGACGCTTCTATACCGGAATACCTATCTCCGACAATGCCCATCTACAAGCTCTCAACACTCTGAGGATATTTTGCAAAGCTACATATCTAATTCCACACCTTCACCACACAGTCCTCTACTCGACTTGAACTAAAATTTTATTAAAGCTTTACAAACTCAATTACTGGCTGTAATTTTTATTGAAATAAAACGTTGATTACTGTATTATAAATGTGTTTTAATTTATTACTTACCTTAAAGTAACACCAAGTATCTCTTGTACTGATATGGCGCATCTCCATCTTGTTAGAGGATTTTGTATAATTGGTGCAGGTTTTTATATTTTTAGGAATGGTACGTAGCTAGATGCTGGATTATATCTCTGTTTTGCTAATTTTTTTATAGTAGATATTGATTCTGTTGGTAGTTCTGAACAAGAGTTATATTTTGTATGCTTTGTGTTGCTTCGTCAATTGATCTGATACGGATAAATGACCGATATTGTGTGAATTTTAAGAAGGATAAACTAGGAATTATAGTGTTTCACTTGTTTTTTGTGACCTGGTTGTTGAAGTATATGAAAATATATTTCACCTGCGGTAATTGCTTTTACGATTAAACAATTGCAGCGATATTGACTTTTTTTTATAATGTGATTTTATTCAGACATAGGTATATGTAAATAGATATACTTTTATTTTTGATGGAAATAGAAATTCATTTTTCATTCAAGAACGAATCTGTGAGATGCAAAATTCTCTTTCAAGAGAGCCGAATGAAATTAGAAAACGATGAGAAAACAATTCAACTGAAACGAAAATTTAGTCAAAGCAGATTCCAGACTCGTTTTGGAACCATATAGAGGATGATAATTATAAGTATGAATACCAGGTGATCAGATTCCATAAGTCTCGTCCTTCGCACGATAAACCGGACTCTTTCAGTGTAGTTTCTTTCTTCATTTCAAGTCATCGATCTGATGATGAAAACTATTATTATTATTATTCAGTGTCACTATTTTTCGGGTTTGAAGGCCGTTGGTTTTTGGATTTTTTCCTGACGTTTCTTCAGGGCAATTAGAGGTCGCACCGATTCTGCTAAAACACTGCAAAATCAACTTCACGAAGTACAACTCCATGCAAGGCGACCTGCTAGAGCCCCTAGATTAACTCCAGCTCATCGAGGAAATCGTAGAAACTTTTGTCAAGAGCATCGTAATTGGAATTTAGAGCAGTGGGCCAATGTAATGTTTACAGATGAAAAAATAATTCATGTTATTCAATAATGACGGACGTGTTCGGGTATGGAGAGGTCCCGGTGAACGCTATTTGGATGACTGTGTTCAAGAAATTATTCCATTTGGAGGTGGATCGATATTGGTATGGGCTGGTATAACTTTGACAGGACACACGGACCTTGTGGTATTTCGGGAAGGGACTTTAACGGCTGTCCGTTACATAGAGGAGATATTGGAACCTCATGTCATCTCATTTGCCTGAAATATGGGCGCAATATTAATGTCATGAGATGGCCAGCTAATAGTCCGGATTCAAATCATATTAAGCAGCTCTGGGATGATCTGGAAAGACATTTGAAGGATCATCAACCCTTCCAAAATCTGAACCAAGTTGCAGATGTTCTTTTGACGATTTGCGAGCAGTTACCACAACAAATAATCAGAACTTTGGTGGAAAGCATGCCTCATCATTGTCTCGATCTTCTTAGAGCCAGGGGTGGACGTACTCACTATTAATATACATTTTTCTTATTTTTTTTTTAAATGAATTCTAGTTGTTTTTGACACTCATTTGTATTTCTTTTTAATCGTATTACCAAACAGCATTTTGAGAACAATGTAAGTTGAATTTAATAAAGGCACCTATGAACTATTTTATAAATATAAATGTTTGACAAAATAAAAATCTTCCAAATATTTAAAGTTGGATAGTTGGTTCAAATGCAAAATATGATATTGCATAAACAAAACTTAATATCCCAGGCAACACACGGACATTCAATGAATGTAAAGGAAATGTAAAGGAAGAAGATGTAAAAAATCTGGCACTTACAAAGAAAATGGTAAGGTGAAGAAAAGCTTATTTTCAAATTGATTACTTTCTTCCTTTCTTTGGAAGATTCCCTCATCCTTTTTTTGTATCAAAATGGAGTAGTAGAAGGCCAAAAACTTTCTTTCCCAAAAAAATGATATTGCCCTTTCATGTACATCATGTAACATCAATTGCATATGAATCTGCAGGAATACGAATATTTTTTCGAAATAAGTTCGATAATAATAACGAAAAACAAAGTTTAACCCTCTGTACCTATACCCGCCAATTTTTTCTTTCTAGAAACTTTTGTCATTCGAACTTCTTGATACACATATTGTCTACTAACTATTTCATTATAAAAATTCAGATCAATACGATGAAAATGAAATTCTGTTTTTTTTTAATCGTCAAAATATCAAACTTTAACCCTGTAGAATCCAAACGCCGGGGTTCAGCGAGTTGGCGCTATGATAACTTTTGTTCAGGATGCGTCATATTGAAATTTCAGTGATTTTCACCGAAACCGGTTTTCCATAAGATTAGTGCGGGGTCCTTTAAACAAAACTTAATATCCCAGACAACACACGGATATTCAATGAATATAAAGGAAATGTAAAGGAAGAAGATGTAAAAAATCTGGCACTTATAAAGAAAATGGTAAGGTGAAGAAAAGCTTCAAATACGCTGTAGCCTGTTCAATTGATTTTTAAAGACTTGAAGTGAACATCATAAATATACTTTCAATGGGAAAAAATAGTCAGGAAATTTGGCATATTTTGAGATGAACAAACAACACTTTATTGTGATATTTTCACTATACAGTTAACGAAACCGTAATACTAGTTTCATTATAGCTTCTTAAAACCTGAAGAAACTATTAGTTCTGTTGCCCTGTTGGGGTACATAATGTAAAAGATAAGTAAATTCAGCAATTGCTCAGAGTCCATAATGATGTGTAACTGCCTTAATCATTTCACCGGTTAATTCTTTCATTGGTTTATTTGAATCATAATTCCCTGCCATTGGTTGACTGAAAATTGACATTTCAAATATTTACATTGGGGCAACAGTGGTAGGTATGTCTGAATTTCATAAAATACATGTTTCTGTTGATGAAATGCGTAAAAAATCGGAAAGCGAATCCAAACCCAATTTGCAACAAGATGAGGACAGTGAGAGTACTGAAGAACAGCCGTTGGACGTTGGTGAACATTATTTGGTACGAAGATCCGATGATTCTTGGCGTAAGTTTTCATTTTACCGAACATAACCTCTTTGTTATGTTTACTAATATAATTTGATTTTCCCTTACCTTACCTACCTACTGACAAATTTGTTTCAGATCCAGCGGAAATAATTCAATCTCGCTATAATGATTTGGAAAGGCAATATGAGTATTATGTTCACTATGAAGGATATAATCGAAGACTGGATGAATGGGTAAAGTTTTCTATTTCAGAAACAAAATGAAATCATTCATTACAAATTCAAATATAGGTTCCAAGAGGAAGAATAATGTCTTCGAGATTCAATATGATGGAAAGTGGTCAAAAGTCTTCTATGGATATGAAAGTATGGAAGGATCGCCCAGTGATTGCTGATATGTTAGGTGATAATTCCGATAGAAAAATTACACGTAACCAAAAACGGAGACATGATGAAATCAATCACATTCAGAAAACGTAAGAATATTGTATTTCATACCAGACACAATGATTGAATTTATTTTGACAGTTTTCATTCCTATAAAAAGAGGGTTGACATATCTTTCAAGATCAAAACTATCAATATAAATATAGTTCAAGAAAAAAGTTTAAATGATTCTTAATAAATTCAGGAAGAAATGAAATATTTGCATCAACAAGAAAATATCACATTAATGATTATAAGTATTTATTAATATACTTTTGGTATGGGGGCTTACAATATCACTGCCAGAAACCTCTTCTCCTCAGCTGATATAAGATTTTCTTCTATATTTTGCAAATTGCCAACAATTTGTCCTTCAGTAATAAAACAAAGAGGCTGCATGCACTATTGACCAAAATACAAATAAAATCAGATGAGTGTCTCCAAAGCAATATAAAATATAGAAAATGAATAATTGTTCAATAATTCCTTTAGACATTTCAGTTTTTCATACTATACTTTATATATCGAGAATCCATAGGCTGAATATAGCTGATTATGCTGTAGTAGTTGAATTCTTATCACCTCTGATATTATCTGGGAGTCGAAATTCCTCCATACTATACGCTGGGCATACGTATCTTCTTGGCAGATTTTCACTTTGTGAAACATTTCACATGTCTTCACCAAAACCTATTCGGAATCTCATGAGGTTCAGAGGTTAGGTATCTCGATTAATGCTTCATTAGTTTCTTCAAATAACCTTTTTTTAAATATGAATTAATTTACTCACAGTAAGCTTGTGTGAGGTTTGGATCCTTTCTATTTTTTTTTTCATTTGAAAATAAATATATTAATTTTTGTCAATAAATGGTGGGAAAATCACATTTGTAAACGAGATTAAAAATTTGGATTTCTTGCCAGATACACACAATTCCGTTTTCAACAAACCCATTGGGTTTATCTAGTTTCACAGCTATAATTCTCGAGAGAACATTATTTTAGTTCGGACTTCCATTGTCTAATATGATATAATGATTTGAAATCCCTAAAAAAAAAAAAATTAAAATTAATGGCTGAAAATAACAATTATATTAAGCAAGAAAAACCTGAAATGAAATAATAATGAGATAAAAATTAAGCAAAAAATTGAAAACTGAACAATAGGGTCTTGATATGGTCTCATCAGAATTGCTAATGGAGAAGTTGACGATGTTCCAACTTCCACAAAACCTAGTCAAGTGGATAGAGTCCTACATGAAAAAGCGCAACATCATTGTGAAGTATGATGATGTTTTATCCAAATCTTTCAACATAAACTCAGGTGTTCCCCAGGGATCGATATTCGAACCTATATTATTTCTTATTTTTATTAATGATTTGCCGGAACACTTACAAAATTGTCAAATCACAATGTTTGCTGATGATATGACTATCGCCCTATGAAGAAGAGATCACAAAATATTGATAGAACAAATTAATTTTGTGATTGAAAATTTCTCAGAATGGTGTCAACTTAATCACCTCATTTTGAACACTACCAAATCTGTTTCTATGAGATTCTATAACAGAAGGAGCAATATTCCAGATCACATATGCGACTCACTTGATATTGATGTTGTAACTGTTGGTAAATTTTTGGGTACGATTTTGGATGAACAACTGACTTGGGATTTGCATATTGATAGTGTAAATTGTGTGTAAATTGAACAAAGCCTATTTTGCAATAAAACAGATGAAGCAATGTTCAAGCAGGTCAAGTCTGCTGAGTTTCCACTATCCAATGGCTTCTTATTCACACATTTCTCACAATATAATGTCTTGGGGAAGTGCAAAAACTTCACCAGGATCTTTGTATTACAGAAACGACTAGTGAGACTGATATTTGATATGAAATACTTAGAGAGTTGTAGGCCAATACTCATTAGAGAAAGGCTTCTGTCAGCTCCCTGCATATACATATATGAATGTGTGAACTACGCTAGAAAAAACGAGTCACTGCTTGAAAAAACCTCATCGTCATGGATATCCAAAGGTCTGCAAGTGTGCCCGTTCCAAAATTGAAGGTCGACTCTTTTCAGTTGTATTGATAATTGCATATGCAGGAAATTTTCTGTGAAGATTCCTGCACTGACGCCTGTCAAATTTAATCCAACGCCCTTCGTGGTATTAGCCAGGGGAGTAGTTGTTTTCTGATAGGCATCAGTCCATTCAGCCTACTGTGTAGGTATATTCGAGACTAGCTTGAATGTTTAAAGTTCATTTCTTTAGCATTTTTTTTAACATATGACTGTTGTAATTATCATCAAATTTTCATCAAATCTAAATCTGGTTATTGAAAATCATCTAGAATAATGATCTCTGAGGATCCTTACACAAATTATAATTGGATTTATTTCATGAGCCCCTATAGTTTCAACCAGAAAAGTAGTTTTGTGATAGGCTTTTTCTAAACTTTATTGCGAAAAGAATTCAGATGTTACAAATGGAGTCTAAAAAAAGATATTTCAATTGTAGTATGATCTCGATTATGATCATATTCTCAAGATGTTAAGTACAAAGAGAGTATAGTGTATTTCCATTATAGGTATGCTGAAATGGACCCAACTACAGCAGCTCTAGAAAAAGAACATGAACAAATTACAAAAGTCAAATATATAGATAAGATACAAATTGGCAGGTTTGAAATTGATACTTGGTATTTTAGTCCTTATCCTGAAGACTATGGGCGACAAAGTAAACTTTGGATTTGTGAATATTGTCTGAAATATATGAGATTAGAGAAAAGTTATAGATATCACATGGTGAGTAGGAAATTTTATTTTATGATATGCATTAAAATAATTCTATAAAAGAAAGTATATTGTTCCAGAAAATTTTGGACTCCTCTTAATATTGCCTCTGGATTTTTTAATAAGTGTACGTCATTAAGAAGCTCTACCTACCAATGTAGTTCAAATAAAAACATTTTTTTTCGATAACCTTAAACAGAACAGTTGTGAGATGTTTTGTTTTATTTGAGGAAATTATAAAATACCAGTACTCAATTTAGTGACTTCAGTCTAATAAACATCTGCTATTCATTTTCTTGATAATCTTGGGAGTTCCTAATGTTCATTTGTTGGTGTAGTCTGAAACAAAAATAAAGTATTGATGAAGAAATATATTTCCTGAAGAGATTTGATGTATTACTAGGTAAAAAACCCCATTTTGAACATTTTATCATCTACCTTCAATATATCTTGTTTTAAGATTAAGGAATCTCTGCCATAAAAAATTCCTTCATTTATTTTGTTTTTGCTTTGTATTTTGCAAATGTCAAATCAATGCCCATATGGCAAATAACAGTTGAAAGGTATGATATATTTATTATGTTGTTTCAAAAGTTTTCTCTATACCATTAATGTCAGAAACCATAAATGCCAGAAACCAAAAGTATTTATTTTTTTGGGGGTCCAACACTTTTCTTTTTTTTATTGATAGAGTTGGAGGTTTTGGGTGTTTTACCATTTCTTTGATAATCCTTTCAGTTGTCATATTTTGAGTTTTTTCTGTGTGAAGCTCATTTTCCTTTGTGAAAGTATCTATACTTAACTAGCATATTTTCAATAATAGCATTGGAAGATTTCTAAAATACTGGCTCTTCCTAAAATATCTAAATAATATCAAATCAAATGCTTTTTAAATTCCTTTAATATTTTACCAATCAACCAGTCAGGATTTCGTAAAGAACAAAGCTGTACAACTGAAAATAACTGATGATATTTTCGAAGCTGCAGACAAAGGTAACACGACTGCTTTGATACTTATAGACTTCTCCAAAACTTTTGATACTATTAGTTATCCAATTTTAGTTGCAATTTTGAACTTCATCGGGTTCACTTAACCTGCTATAAATTTAATTAAAAGCTATTTTAAAGATCGTTCACAGTTTGTAGAAACTTCGAAGAGAAAGGGAGTTCCTAATGTTCATTTGTTGGTGTAGTCTGAANACAATTTATCATTGAAATAAATTAGCAGTGGAGAATTGACTAGAAAAACTCAGCAAATAAAAATCCGATTGAAAAAACCGTCAGTGAGAATAAAAATAAACCTGCAAGTTTCAAACCATTATAGTCCAGGAGTAAAGATCATTTTTTTGTCTACCAGCAAGATGAGCAATATTTGTACAGTGTGCAAGGAAGTTCTTGCAGAAAAAAGTGCTATTTGTGCCACTTTTCTCAACATCACATAGAATCTTGTGCCGGTTTAGGTTCATCAGAACACAGAGCTGTAATATTTGCGAAGAAAACATTGGTATATTTCTGTGAAGAATTTCGCATTTCCTTCAATAGTGGCCCTTTGCTTTTGAGAGAAATGAAGCAGTTCAGAACTGAAATTACTTCTCTGTAACTTGAAATGAAGGATCTTGAAAAAAGAAGTAGATTCACGGATTACGGAGAAAAACACTATGTGTTCAAATCTGTTTATCTGTTTAAAATCTTTTTTTCCGTTAATCAGCTGTCGCCCCCATACAAACTTGTGCGAGTTAAGGACTAACGAGGTCTTACCTTCTAACGTGTGATTCCTAATAAATATATTAGCTCAAACTGGAAATGGTGCAGAGATAAGATGGTGAAAATTGTGAAGTTATATCAAATGAGAACATAATCGTGGAATTGTTAAAATGTCAAAAACGGGATCCAAATATTATGATAGTTAATTTACGTGAGTCGCAGGCTGTCACATCAGGTCAGTGCAGAGAAGATGACTTGGAATCATTTAAAGAGTTATTTCAGAATCATAATGTAAATCTTGACGACTTAACTGTATTTATAGATAGGCCAGTTACCCCTAACACAAATAGATTTTTAACAGTAATAATGCAGAATGAAACTGATGCAATTACCATCCTCCCTATGCTCATAAAAATAATTGAGGTAGTATTTCCCAGATGGTGGGACTCTTTAGT